CTGAACATTTCCAGTTATAAAGTGCAGCAGTGATCAGAATGTAGGCAGTTTAGGAGAAAATGAAAAAACATTTTAAAGTCAATGTGCAAAAAGGCATTGATATGGAAAGGTTTAATGCAAAATAAATGGTGCAAAATGCAGTCGCACAGTGAGTTGTGTGACTTCGAACCCAGAGCTAGCCTCGTTGCTAACAACTGATCCAATTCTCTGTCTGCCTCTGTAACCATTGTTTTGTAATCTAATCCTGTGAAAAAGCCCACGTAGAGGCGCTGCAGGGAAATGATCAAACTTCATGAATCATTTAGGAGAAATGCTCTGGGATGAGTTTGAATGATTAGAGATGAAATCTGCCTCCGTCTGAGGATGACCTCACTTCCTGCCATGTTTTCTCAGATCCAGCTAAAGAAAAACAAAGCCTTCCGGCGCTTTAAGACGCTCCAAGAGGCTCGACCGCAGTTTGACAACCAGAAGCTGGAGGACTTACTTCAGATGCCAGTTCAGCGAATTCAGCAGTAAGACTTCGCCTCGTTGTTTGAGATGAAAATGTTCCTTATAAGAATGCCAAACTGAGGAGGAACTTTACTGTTTGCATTCTGAGTGCAACCTATTCGTTGCAAAGGAAATGTTTTGTTACAGTCAGGAAGTTTTTGTCTGTTAACATGGGAAAACTGTTGTATTTTACTATTTATTATTTTATTTTCAATCACAATAACAGGAAAATTGCACCAGCTGAGTAACACGAGTGAGTTCAGAAAGCAGGGTGCTCCTATCCTGAAAAGGTTCCTGGTATAAAACCATCAATCCCTTATAAGAGATTGAAAATGATCTGACCAAAGGGATGTGTTAAATCTAGGTGTGTCAGTTAATAAATAATTAATCAGTCAGTGGGCCTATATATGGGGCTACAGGAAGTCACTGTGCTGTTTGGTGACATGGTGTGTACCACACTCAACATGGACCACAGGAAGTGACGGAACCAGTTCCTCAGTGGACTAGAAGGAAATTTATAGACGAGCGCGTAAAAGGAAAAGGCTAAAAGACCGTTTTCAAGCATCTGGATTTTCCTGTGACTACAGCTGCACAAGACCAGATCCACGTAGCCGACCTCCCTGAACGTGGCTGCAGGAGGAAAACTGATGCCAAATCAGAGACGAATAATATGGATGTTAACAGAAAAGCCCAGAAAAACTTCTAAGGATTAAAATTGAACGTCTAGTTCAGGGAACATCAGCATCAGGGTCGTCCGGCTTTGGATGACGGGCTGTAGACGGCGAACAAGCTCATCAAACCGACACACAGACAATCCTCGCTAGTTCCTGAATGTCGCTCTGGCGTTGTGGCGTGGAATTATGGAGGACCAACTCTGCCATATCTAAAAATAGATACAGATATAAATAAATGCTCAATAAATAAGCATACAATTAATTTCCCCCCAAAAATACATTAAAAAAGTAAATGTAGGTAGAAATTAAATTATACAGTCAGACATAAATATATAGATCTCTTTTAATTATCTTCATTATTTATTTGCCTTTGTAGAAATTACCTTATTTATTCACTGTCTGTTATAATCTTTATTTATTACTTATTTTTTAAGTATTTTATTTTGTAAATGTGATATTTTTGTCTTGTGTTTTATTCTTCCTTTGTTTTTTCTACCCTCTTTATTTCTTCAACGCCATTTATGTCTGCCTGTCACTCTAAGCCCCGCCCCCTCCTTATTTGCATAATGAAGCAGAAATGTAAAATGTAAAAACGACGGCAGAAATAAAAAGCATGGAAGAAATAAAGAGGGTAAATATAATAAAACTGACAAAAATAATATAGCATGCATATAAATACTTAAAAAATAAGTAATAAAGTTAAAGATTATAACGGACATTCAATAAATAAGGTAATTATTACAAAGGTCGAATAAAAGAAACTAATTGAAAGTAATATATTTATACATTTGTCTCACTGTATAATTTAATTTGTTTTTTATTTTTTGGGGACAATTAATTGTATGTTTATTTATTAATTGAGCATTTATTTAGTTCTGTATTTATTTTTAAATATGGCAGAATTGGTCCTCCATATAGAATAGCATAGACCACGCTTTACAATTGGACGTAAATCAATAATATCTGCATCATACCTGCAACAAGCTAACTGACACACTGCTGTTAAAGGATAACCAGCCCTTATTACGCCCCTGTATACTACACATCCCAGGACGCACCATGAGGCTGAAACAAAGCCTGATCCAGAAATTCTCGGACGACTGGAGAATCGGCCTTAAAAAGGCAGAAACTTGTACACTGTATGCACGGCTTTACTTATTTCAGGTTCAAAATGCAAATACAAAATGGTTAAATCTGGACTTCTACGAGTCCTTTTTTTTTTTCTATTTCCACCAGTCTATTTTTGGGTGCAAATGCGAAAAAAAACCCACTTGCATTGTTCATCCCTGCATTTTCCTAGCAGATTCTAAACTCCAGGATCTACTGCAGGGACAATCTCATTTGGTGGGGTGGTGCCAAAAATAGGGAAGGTAACCCGCATACAGGGATCACACTCCCAGAAGGGAGAATAGCAGATGTAGAAGAGAGCAGCAAGTACTTTGGAAATCACAGGCTAATGGCGACTGCAAAGAGGCAACAAGGAAAGCAGCAACAGCCAAATACCAGTAAGGACTGAGGCCAGTTCTGAGAAGTCGGATTAATGGTCCAGGCAATCAACAGCTATGCCCTGACAATAATCAGGTACCCTGCTGGCATAATAAGTTGGCCACAGGAGGGAATGTAGGCCACAGATATTAAAACACGGAAGCTACTCACCATTTATGGCAGATTCCCCCCCAAAGTATCCAGACTATACACCAAGAAGGAGACAAAGGCCTCCAGGGATCCAAAAATACATCAAGAAGATGGCCCAAGGTCTGAAGCACTCAGTGTCTCAGACAGTGGGGGCTGGAAATGAAGGAACCATCGTGAACATTTTCCATTTGTCTTTGGCCATATTGCAGTTCTGAGTCTGCAGTTCAAGGAGCTTAGGGCAGGTTTCAGAGGTCTTTCAAATGTTCCCCCCCTCTTAGGACAAGATGAAATGACGCGTCTTGTGGTAGAATAAGGAAAGCTCTGCAGTCTACTGATGGGGCTTCACAGGTCTGAGGTGTAGAGTTGTAATGTAATCTCAGGTAAAGTTATACACTCACCGGCCACTTTATTAGGTACACCTGTCCAACTGCTCGTTAACACTTAATTTCTAAGCAGCCAATCACATGGCGGCAACTCAGGTCTACCTCTTGAGAGCAGTTCATGAAACCTTTTG